TAAAGCGAGGTTGCCCTGCCAGAAGTTGCTCTACGTTTTCTTCTACTCCACTGATTCATCTAATATACGATTCTCCCTGAGAGTAGTGCTGTAGCGTAATCGAAATTGTGTGAGCAACTACGAGAACTAACGTCCCGAGCCCCAGTTTCATCAATATGGGGCATATCCAACATCGTCATGGACAACACCCAAACACATCACGCGAAGGCGACAAGGGATGAAATAGAGAAGTATGGAATCAACTGACTGCTCGATCCTCCTTGGTCGCCTAACCTTAGTTTGTGATTACCATGCTCTGAGAAATCTCTAGGCTTACACCAAATCAAATGGCGGGATCTCATTCGGCTTTCTTTCTTCTGGACTAAAGGTATCAATGACCCCTCTCATCCGCTGAAGAGACGTCGTGGCTAGGCAGAACCACTTTCAACTGATTTGACTCTACTGATTTATGGCTCCGTCATTGTTAATCGAAGTGCTGGAGTGTTGTTTTTTTCACAGCTTCTTAGCAAATTTCCTTGGCGACTCTACGGACTGATTTGTACGATTCTATGTCTGAGTCTGGTTGTCTAGGCCCACTTTAGTTGGAAGAGATTGGTTCTGCTCTTCTGAATCGCTCGATGGTGGCTTTTAGTTTCTTCCGCTTTTCAGGGTGTCAAACGCACACAACAGCAAACGTTGTTGCACGATGTCTGGGTTATACAACTGCACGAACACGGCTCGATGAAGATAACAGCCGACCGATCCTGCATGAGGAAGCGCGGGAACTTGTCAGTTAAACCAACAGAAGCAGTTTAACTATGCAAATAACTGATAGCCAATTGATCACTCATAACTAGAAAGATCAACACATCAATCTTCTCGATTTTGAACCCCTGTTATTCCTAGCACCCTGTGGAGAACCACTGATACGTGCGGACGGGATTTTTGTGAGCATTCCCTACTGATGCCTTGTTTGTTGGGGGGAGGCAAAGGGTTTTCCATGAGCCCACTCATGTAGTGTGTTCACAACGTTGAAGCCTGAAGTTTTTCACTCACCAAATAAATTCTGCATCTACACCTGTGAAAACGATTGTAGCGAACAGAATGCTCATCCATAGGGGACCCCATCGCATCAGTTTTGTCATGCTCGGAATCACCGTAAAGACCATGTAGAATGGATCGTGACCTGGGAGTTTAAGGTTGTGTTTCAGGCTCTGTAAATAATTCAGATGTGGTTACAACTCACTAGTGAGGGTAGAGATATCTTTACCAGAAGATATCGAAAGAAGTCCTAAGAATGAAAACAGAACCATGCCGACAAGTAAGGATGTGAAAACATTCCTAAATTTTTTTATTTCAATCTCTCTATATATAAACCAGAAGTTGTATGTGTGTCTGTGCGTTTATCTGCGTGGCAGCTCAAAATTTGGGGACCAAGTGAAAAATCAATTTTGGGAACAGATCAAGCTTGGGATGGATGTGGCATGGGCTAGCATTTACAGAGCTCATACACAGCAGGGCACATCGTTGTTGGGGAATCCCCAATAGGGGGGTCGTATTTGGGCTGAGAAAAATTTATTTTGATAGTTGATTTTTCTCGCTTCATGGACGTTGTAAAGGGAGGGGGGTCGTATTTGAGCTGAGAAAAAAATTATTTTGATAGTTGATTTTTCTTGCTTCTCGGGTGTTGTTGGTCATTGTTGGGAGGGGAGGTCAGAGGGCCGGAGGGGGGTCGTACAAACC